TATCTTCACCGTCACTATCTTGCCAATTTTAAGGTGAGTCTTCAGTATGAAGGGAGTTGGAGGCAGTGCAGTAAATTATTAAGGGGGTGCTCTGTTTTTTTTCTAAGTCTATTTATATAATATGCTTTATACTGTTTTCACATTCTCAACCCATAGCCTGAAGTACTCAAAATGCTTGTGCACCCAGATTTTATTTTGGGAAAACATTATATACAGTATGCTACTTTTCCTTCACTTGGAGTACAGCCATTTTGCCAAACACTGACGTTAACAGAGAGAGAGAGGACTTTTAATGTGGTATTGCAGAATCCAAAGAAAATATAGGTAATTCGTTAACACCAATGGACTGAATGCCTCGTTCTCTTCATGCTTTTTTGCATTAGCCCAAGAATGAGTATACCCTAGAAGGACAATACACACACATTCTGGGAACTCATGGACTGAAATGCTTCTCTTTAAAAAATCAGATGTGTAGGCCAAAGCCTGAAAAATTATATTCTTCAGTAAGAGTCATATTATAAATAGCACAGAATCTTCATAACAGAAATTCACAGATACCCAAAGAGAATACAAATATTGTAGCTGTTAACTTTAGGTTTCTTCACCTACAGTATATGCTTGTAAAGGCAGAGAAGTTACATATTATTTATACCATATATTTAGAACATTCTTTGCATCACTAGAGGTCATTTAAAATTTTAAGAGGTTAAATGTGTTGGTAATAATTTGACTCACTCTATACAATTATGCAAAAAAGTAAACTACTTCAGAAATACTGCACCATCTTTTTCAGGTTCCTGCTGCTTATCTCATTAGATACAGTATACTGTACAGTATTGGTGATTTTATGATGCTCTCCTTTGATATCCAGTTAATAAGAGAAGTTTCAGGAAGGCATTAGCTGTAATGAACAAGGCATGCCACTAACAGTATATGTATTTCAATTATTTTATCAATTTTAATTAATAATTCAAGATGAAAACATTTTTCCAACAGTCACCAGTATAGAATATTTTTGGAAATTTTCTATTTCTGAAATGTTTGAATAGGCACCAAAAGTGTTAGCAAAATATGTTAAGAACCGTCACTGTGCACGGCACAGTTTGTGCTCTTTATTCCGATACATTAAAAACTGAGAACCTACACAAAGGGTTGCAGTAGTCTGGAAAAAGCTAGCCAGCCTTATTGTCATAAAAAGCTAGTTCAGATTAATTAGCTACTGACAGCCAGACAACCTGGATGGTTTTTTGTAACCTTTTCATATGTTCTGAGTTGATGTCACTGTTTGAACAAGCTGATTCATTTTGCAGCCATTGTGTACAGTGAGATCTCATTAAGTGTTCCACTGCAAGAGTACCTGAACATTCCAAGTGAAAGGTACAGTGGATTGAGATACAGTATAGTACATTCAGTAGAATCTGATTCAAAAGGGATTATCTTTCTGTATGCATACAATGCTAATAGTAATACATAATTATCTTAAATATTAATTCCAATTCCATTTTTTTGCCCAACCTATGTATGGTTTTCTTCACCTTAAAGTTGCTGCTAACATGTCACTGTTTCTGTGCACAGGAGAGCACCAGGCTGTAAAGAGCAATTTTCAGAGGGAAAAGATTCAAAGGACTCAGGGTTTTTTTAAGTCAACCACTACTGAGCCAAAGATAACATTCACTGCTCTCTTTACAGGCCTCAAACGTCATCAGGGACACAAGGAGTGCTCAGTCAACTGCACTGAAAAACAAGGAATTTAATTAGCAAGTGCAAACACAGGCAATCATTTATTCAACAAATTCTTTTCATTGAGAGTTGCTTTGAGAGAGTTCTACTAAGCTCGGATGCTATCTTACACCACCATGTTTTATACAGTAGGCTTTAAAACAACACTGGAAATGTTTTTCATATGGAATTAGTTTACAAAAAGTATATTTCTTCAGTCCCGATCTTTTCAAGCTTCTAGCTCTCGATTTTGGACAAGACAGTGATGAAGTCTGTCTGGCTCTTGTGCTAATGCTCCAAACAAAGCTGACAGGTTACCCCTGCAGACAGCAGGTTTTCCATGGCAACCTGTTCTTTTGGACTGCCCTCTGTGAGTGGTCTGAACACTAGCATTATCTGAGAATCACTGTCAAGAGCACGGATCTGAATGAAGCCACAGGTTATGGTAAAGATCTGTGATCTGTGTTTTAGAGGGAATGAACTGCAATACCAGTGTTCCATTCTTGAATTTTTTGTCATTTTCTCCATGTTAAAGAAGAAAATTAAAATAAAGACCAATATGTATAAAACAAATATTTAGTATCGTCAGATTTTCTTCAATAAGTGCGCTGAAATTTGTGTAAGGCTGTCCTGTCATTCTCTTCTATGTATGACTGCAATGCATAATTGTGCTTTAATGTCCTGTAAAGGGCTGAGTAATTATGTACAATTTGTATGTACTGTACATGAGCACACCAAATAGCTGCAGAACAGATGGAACAAATGCAGTACAAGGAGACCGACAAGAACACTTTAATGTACAGTACACATCTAATATTTCATTTTAGAGCAAACACTTTGTACAGTATGTGAATCTCATTAAAAGACTATCAAACACTTTAACAGAACTTTAGCCTCAATGGAGTCCTACTGCTTTTACAAACATCTGAACCACCCACATTTTCTAAATAAATTCTTTTAAATGCTAATGCACTTTTTGAATTATAAACAAAGGATAACTTTTAAGTCCCTAGTCTGAAATATCAAACACTTCCATAATTATGAAATGATATGAGTTTGCTAGTCTAACAAAGTAATTATAACTACTATTATTAGAATTCCTGTACTGTTAATTTTGTACTTTGCTTTGATTATTGCATAAGGCTTAATAATGCCAAGATAGACCATACAGTCTCACCACTGGTCACTTAGTACTTAAGTGTGCCAAAATAGCTACAGTATATAGTTCTTTTTAATCTATCATCTTGGAGGAACTGTATGTATTGATCCCCCAATGAGGTGACCTTGAAAAGCAAGAAGAGGTCTGTGCAATCAGGAGAATAGTAAATGCTGTGAAATCAGGGAATCTGTGCTGAAATGGCTTTTCTTCATTTCAGAGGCAGTGCTGCCTACAGTATCTGATAATGGGGTGTACTCCTTTTAAAAGCCTAGATCATAATCTGTCTTCCACTTCAGGCACTGTGTTTGTCTTACTGTTTCATCACTGGTTCAAATCAGTGACATGCAATTACGAGACAAAAAACTATAATGGAGTATTTTGTATCTGTATTTTCATTGTTTGTTGCATTACCTACTCTAATGTGATTCTATGAATCTTTTTAAAGATGCTGCTTTTTAAAGATTTCAACATACTGTATACAGTATACTGTATGTTCTGAAGAATACTTCTCCTAACAGATCGCTATGAAGGACACAGGGGTCACAGAGACCCCAGTGGTGAAAGCTGACTGTCCATCATATCAAACACTGTGTCCTGTTTGCTGTTTTATGCTTGGTTCTATGCACTTACTGTATGCCCTTCCCTTTGGCTATAAGAGTGTTCGTTTCAAGAGGACACTTCACTGTCAAAAAGCCTCAGCTGTTATGGTGACACTCACATTCATTCACTGTGGGGAAGAGTCAAATCAAACAGCCTTGGCTTCTCAGGTGCATCAAAGAGCACATGGGAGTATTGGAAACATTTTTCATGCTTCTCCCTACGGTCTCTCTCTGGTAAGAGGTCAAAGATAATTAGCACGGCCAATACAAAGTGGTGCTGGAATGACAGGAAAAACACATAAACCTCAAAAAGCATATGTTACTGGTAAGACATAAAGCAATATCAGAATATCACTTTTCCCAGATGTTTTTTTTCTTAGCTCTGTTTCTTCACTGCTTTTGTGTATGGTGAAATAGTGTTTGTTATTCGATCCCCTTTCCATAAATGGCCTGTCCTCAGTGATTATGTCTGCTGTAATGAGATGTGGCACCGTAACTGCCAGGCATATTTGGAGCAATTGTAGTTATTGGGGTGGTACAGTAATCGCTGGTAAGAAAGCTAAACTGCAGTGGTTTACACAGCTGCTTTAAATATGTCCGTAGGAAGCAAGAATGATTTAACGTGATCCTCTCTGGTTTGTGCCGGAGCAAGGACGTGATGTCCACTCTGCATTAAATCTACAGAACTAAGGGTTGAATAGGCCTGTAGCTCTAGCAAAATCAAAACAGTGTTTGCCAATAAATGTAAAAGTTGTACTTTAGAGGGAATTTCTAGAAATTATCCAATTGCTTAAAAAACGGCAGAGGTTACACCTTATAAATTGATTTGTTGAACATTAGTGTTTGCTGAACTGTTTTTGTATCAACTTCCTCTGTCTTAGGAAGAAAGTAACCATTGCTGAGCAGAAATTAGATAAGTTAAGAAGAAACTTTTTCTTGCTTGCTAATTATGGCTTTCATCGTGACTACCAGACTAAAATTGTGACTACCTCATTGTCCCTGCCTCCTGGATGGATAAAGAATGTGATCTGATCAGCAGAAATTTCATGTTGTGGATAAATGTGCAAGGTTACTATATTGCCCTTGATACTGGACAATACCTTGGAATACCTTGGAATGACTGATTACACCAATAAAATATTTACTGCTACTGCCTCTGACCTGTGCCTGATGTCAGCTTACTTCTTTATGATCACAGAATGATAAGTTCAACACATTTGGTTCCATGCTTCTACGATCAGCCTGTGTAAATAAGTATAACCTGTTTTCTGTCCTGAAAGCTCTCTGTCAAGGAATGAATTATGTCCACTTTTCACAGTGTTAGCTTCTTGAAGATACAGTAGGAATAGCAGAACAAGGGACCTTCTTCACCTTGAAACAAGGCCTGACCTCAACCTTCTGTCAAACCAACCATGCTGTACATGAAAACAGCTGGCCTGTGATCTTCAGTCAGGAGCAAGATAGTGGGTTGTTTTTCTTTATATCTATCAACTTTTCTGTGTATGTTTTTTTCTCTGTTTCAGTGGCGTCCGTTTCTCCCAGGCCTGAAGTTTGAAATAATTGATTCAGCATACATCTCGCTGTACACAGGTAAACCACCAGACTGGGAATGGGAGATGGGGTGCTAGGGAGTGAGGTTTGGTCTCCCCGAGGGAGAGCTTTACCTTTGTCTGCGTTTAGTTTTGGATGCCAAAGAATATAGGGAGTAAATTAAAGAACACAAATTATATACAAATTGTCAGTGAAAGAGCAGAGATCTTACCACACAAACAGGGCAGTTTGTTCTGAGTTTTCATGCTTTGTGAAATTCAGGTAAGCTCAAAGGCACCATGTATAGCTGTGTTGGATATATCCTCTCTCTTTCTATGTATAGAAGTGCCTGTAATTGTCTTTGAAAAAAATAAGAATTGTGAAAGTTGCCATAGTTTTAGCACAGATGTCAGGACAGTTATTCTTTAAAATTGACTTAATCTTCATACCCCACATATTGCTATGAAATGAATCTGAGACACCTGCCCAAAAACACTCCAATCTTTGATTATAAACTCGTAAACAAGAATTTACTCTATTTCCATTTCCAAATTTGTAATTTCTCTTTTTATAAGATTATGTACTGTATGTATTGGATATGATTTGGCAAATAACATACAGTACATACAGAATGCTGTAAATATAATATACAGTATACAGAAGGTAGAATACAGTCATAAAATTCCTGAAAGCTGGGAAGTGACTCTGTGAACCAAAATGTACTCTTATAAGGCATAAAATGCTACAATAAAAAATCAATCTCAAGTGTAATTAGGAAGAAACAGAAGATCGGCATGCTGAGGTTGTATGCTTTTCTGCTGAAGCTTCTTCTTCTGTAAGCAGCATCCAGGTCAAATGTGAAAAAGATTGTGCCACCTGTCCTGTAAACACAAAGTAATAAAACCACAGAAGCGCTCTAGTATAACAACGCAAAAGGGAATGGCTACAAGACAAAAGCTTAAAATAATAATACAGAAAAAGCAGTGCATAACATATGAATCTTAATACCAGTAATTTCCCAATGCTTCAGTTCATAGAGCGCTGAGCCCCCAGGCAAAGAATGTTAACTTTTATTGAAACTAAATTACATTGCTCTTAAAGAGTGGCACATTTCACAATTTTCCTGTGTACTGAAGTTCATTTGAAATGACTTTCATTTTAATAAGCCAGATAGCAGAGAAAGGAGAACAGTTCAGATTTATAATGAGCTTTTGTACTTCAGTTTTTTATCATTAAACCCACACATTTCTTTGGAGCTTTATTATTTTTTCGTTTGCAGCATGATCTCACTTGGAGACTGGAGGTTTTTTAGCTGAGTATTTTTTTTTTCTAAAATGCTGTTGATTTCTCTAAGTGATTTGTATCTGCCTGGGTATACAGAGCACATTTTACCCTGCTCATGCGTGCATTAATTCATTGGTTACATTTGTTATATTAGTAAATAAAGTCAAAGTGTATTTGATGAAATGCATGTTAATCAATCTCTATACTAATAGCCCTGCCCATATGCATCTCTGCCTCAGCAGCCAGTGTGACTGTTATTAGAAACTGGATGATTGAGTATTGTAGAGAAATAGTACAGAAAAAAATGTCAAAAAGAAATTTTCAGATGTTAACCAGTATGTTCTTACAGATATGTTTGTTGTTGATACAGTTTTAGGAGCGGTTTAGTACAACAACAAACTTTGATTTTTGTCATTATATATAGTAAATAGATTTAGAACCTGAATTTATGCATCCACGTAACCTTTAAAATATTACATTTTGTAACCCGTATTCTGTGTTCTTTTCTATATATTTTTCAGAATTATACAGTAGAACTTTTCATAAACCTGCTTTTATCCATAAGTGTTCAATAAATCAGTACTCTTATCAGGAAATGAAAAACAGAAAATCAAGCATCAGTATAACACGTTTGCCTATTTTGAAAGGGATGTATCTCTTAAGCCATGATTTATGTAAATAATAAAGCAGTCACAGCATTTCAATTCAGAACCTTAACTGATCTGCAATATCTAACGATGTTGCTTCAAACCACTGGATTTGGTGTGCTTGCCCTCGGGTTTCCCTAAAGCTCCTTGGTGTCAGAAATGTCCCTCTGTTAAATACTAAATTCTGTGGATTAGAATGCCTTGCTGCAGATTTACATAAATTCTTCGGTGGGGAAGCACAATGCTCCAGGGACCTGCGATATTTATTTTAATTATTGCCAGAGTTGAGTGATGTTTGGCATTTTTTAATGCCCTGCTTTTAATTTGAGCTGAAGTTAACAAGCTCTGGGGTTCAGGGACCCGTGCAGCAAACTTGAAACATTATTGTGCAGTCCCCAGATTGTTCATTATGGCATTGAGTATCGGCAGCATGTACACATCATTAATCACCTTCTGCTCACTATTGTGGCACAGAGGGCTGAGTCCCCCGAGAGGGTGACACAATCGATGCTTGTTGCTCGTGTGACCAGTTCTTTGTCTGAGCACTTATGGATACACTGTGGAGGGTCACACTATAGCTAATTACCTAAGAGGCTGTTTCCTTGAAAGAGAATAGATGTGTTACATTATCCTATGCCTACGTGTCAGTTAGACTAGTCCAACTTTATTAGTGATGCTTTTAAATCCGTGAATGAGTTTTACCTAATGGCTTTGGCCTTCACTGTCCCAAGGCCTACTTATTGATAACATCTTTTTTTTTCCATTTTCACCAAATCTGTCTGAACAATCACTAGAGTAAAGATTTGTGTGTGTGTAAACTGTCACAAATTTGTCATCTGAAGTAAGAACCACCAGTCTTGAGCAAAGCTTCCATTTTGTCTTGCAATTTTGGTTTGCGATTATTTGTATTGATTTAGAGCACACTGAAATTATAGGGGCCCCCTGGGTCTTTTTTCTGTCATTTGGACAATAACAAATAACAAAATGGTAAGTAAGCGGCTAAATGATCTCAGAACTCCACCACAGCATGGGGAAGTGGAAGAAACCAGGCCAAGCGATGAGACAGCTTTCTTTCACTCAAAAGCTTTACTTGAGGGCTCACTCAAGTACTAAGTTTCAGAATAATAAGCACCAACGATAATCAGTGCATAAAGAGAGAACCTAGAGTCACTGAGAGAGTCTCTCTGTGGCTTTCCCTTCAGTTCTACTTGTTTACAGACACAGGGTCATGTCGGTGTCGTATGGCTTGCTCTTCTTGCTCTGTTCTTTCCCTCCTGCTTCTTGTGGCGTCTCCTCTTGTCTCCCACCCGGCCTCTTTTTATCCCCCTGCTTGGAGAAAACCAATAGGTTAAACAGTGAGGATCACAGCTGCTCCTCCTCGACACCTCATTCTTCACATCTGCGTTCGTGTCAGGGGGGAAATCACTGGCGTCTGGTTTTATCCATCAAAGCTCTTACAGAGCACCTTCAGTGACTGAGCCTCCACCACATTTTCAGTCACAACTCCCGTTATCAAGAAGTGCGTCCGATTCAGTCACAGATTAATTTCTTTTCATCTTATGAGTCTGGAAGTGAATTGTGTTTTCCTGTAGACTCTCAGGCACAGCTGTTATGAAACAAAAACATGTTAAACATCCAAAGATAACCAGCCACTTATCAAGCACTTCCGATAAGCTACTTTATAGACATATTGTAATACCGACTGCAAAGTCCAGTCGTCATGAAATAATTTGTTTGCTAACTGTAGTTACATTTTTGGGAGTAAAAAGCACTTGATATTAGGGAAATACTGGGGGAATTAAATTGCCGCTGTGTATGCCATTGGTGATCTTAATCAGGGGCATCAGTGAGTTGCTTTCCTTTGTAATTCACTTTCCTTCGAGAAGTCTTTTTCAAGGCCTGTTTGTCATTGGAAAGTTTCCAAGCTTAATAAGTATTGCTTTAGGAGGAAATCACCTGAGCTAATCCTGGAGACCACAGGCAGTAGGATGTGCAACAGTCCAGAAATGAAAACTGGAACATGAAGATGATAAGAGCTGCTTCTTTAATTTAGAGTGCAATTTGATTTAGAGGTGAATTGCTTATAGTTTTGTCATGTAGTACTGCATTTTCCCCAGGTGCAGTAATCCTTCCTTTTCCAAGAATCAGCCATCCTTGTCTTTGTTGAAGTTAGTGGTTCCTGCTGTTATGTTGTAGCTCTAGAGACTTGTTCAGAAAGGCAGAATACTGTACAGTTAATTAGACACACTCTTCACCTCCTTATTGCTCACCTATGTGAAATAGTTCAGCTCAGCACTATTGATCACTGTCTGGTGTTCCTCAAAACCTGGCCTTTGAAATCAATGGATGGGGTATATACTTTTTTATTAGGGGCAGTTAGCTGGTGGAACAAGCCTGACAGCAGTAGGAAGATCATTATTTTTCAAAGGATCTTGCCAGTTAAGGGCACTTTTCCTAGATTCTCCATCAGCCTCCCAAGTTCTTTTTTTTTACTCCACCAGAGTCCTTTCTATTAAAAAGTGCTGCAAGGCCTTTGCTTGATTTGCTCCCTTTAGTCGCCTTCAATTCGTAACCCTGTCTTGCTCTCTTCTTAATTATACACATCTTTTTCCATCAGGTTCCAGACTTGCTCCATAAATCATACTTCTGTTCACATAACCCCGAGGCTCGAAACCAATCAATAACATTAATTAAACCCCGTTTTGTCCACTCACACCAGCAAGACAGTTTGTAGAGAGATTTCAGAACAAAAAGAACAGCTTTGAATGAGTTCCCCCTGTTTTCATGCCTTGGTGTAACTAAGTGGATTAGAGTGAAGAGAGGTGATCTGTTCCCTTAGCACCTGCTAGCATGCTTTGAAAGGGAAGTGGAACACCTAGACTCCTGTGTACAATATTATGTTATTTATAGAGAGGGACATTAGTGCATGCTCCATATATACAGTTGCAATCTCCCACAGTACTCCTGAGTACATGTAATTCCTTTGAGTTTACTCTCTGGCCTCCACCGTAATATATCTTTCTGTGTGATTATCATTGATACTCTGCTGAGAAACCAGTTTTCTTTATATCGCTTTAATGAGATGGTGAGCCGTATTCCCTGAATCCTAGATCATAAGTTATTTAAAGAATGTTCTTTTCTTCATAGAAGTTTCTTTTTCTCTTTGTCACAGTTGTGGCTTTTAGTAACTCTCTATATGTTGAATTAAAAAGAAAAAAAGAACTATTCAACTATTCAGCCTGACAGTTAATGTGTGTGTTAACATCACCAGGAAGACATCTAAGCATGACAGGACATCTTCCAGTAAGAGATATGTAAACAGCCAAATAAAATTGAACATTCCCTATGCAAAATTTATTTAAATAACCCTATCTCATTTTTGTGTCATATTAAGAATATAAATCCACACATCCATTTTCTAATGCAGTTCATTAGAATTACATCCATTTCAGGACCACAGGAGAGCCAGAGCTTACCTCCGCAAGCAACGGGCACAGGGTGGGGTCCGTAGCACGGCAGGGAGACACAGACAGAGACGCAAACGCTCACACCCAGCACGGCCACTTTTGCCAAAAGCCAGCTAACTTCCCAGTATGTCTTTATTGGACAAACCTGGAGCACGCGGAGGAAACCCACATGAACATGTGGAGAACTACAGAAACTCCACATAGATGGCACACCAGCTCTGGAATTGAACCCTGAGTCCCAGCACTATGATGCAGCATGTCTAACCTCTGCACTACCATGCTGCCAGTGTGAATTCAAATTTGGATTGAAAGCATTTGAAGTTAAAATTTAAGAATATATTGTATACTTTGGTACTGAAAATAGGGTTCAACGATTATTTTTATACCCTTCCAATACTAATTGCCAGTACGTTGAATCAGCTCAGGTAGTGCAAACTCGTAAGTGCCCATCAGCTCTGGAGCCCAAGTGCAACCGCTGGGGACGATCCCAGTCAAAGTCAGCTAGTGGCCCAGGCCTGAACAAATATAATCTGGACCATGGGGCTCAACCATTGCATGGGCAGGTGCTGCAACTTGTTGAGCTGCTCAGAGCTGCCCCAGCACATTTTTCTGCAGGTATCATTCTTACATACAGTATGTCTTTTCCTCATATTTTCCAGCACCTGTGAAATGTCTACCAATTAGAGAATTGCAAAGCTACTTACTGATCAGGAAAGATCATTTTAGAGGTTTAATACAAGATCCATCCACCTAACAGCAGTTAAGAAATAGAAACATTATGATGATACAATCTACTGAGGGGAGAAACGTCTCTGCATTATTGTGAACTCTGTGTCTCGAATTTCTGTGGTGATTTCAGACGAGTCCTCCTTAAAGATGAACAGCGTGGGTCACATCCCTCAGACCTTTGCCAGCCGTGTCAGGTCAGCTAAAGAGGCGTCAGCAGCAAGCCAACACAGTGCTGACATGCTGAAACCAGACCCGCGTGACACCTTCTTCAGCAGTGAGTACTGTGCTGCTTGTGGCCAGGAAACAGCCATCTGCCTCATGAAGCCCAGTGAGCCCTGCTCATTTTCACATCCAGCATTGTCACAATGTCACCTCCGTAGAATCAGAATTAAGAAGCACACACACTCTTTAATATCCATTATGAATTATTCACTTATGTATCGATACTAGTGAGCAATTGTCTTCTTAGGAAAAAAAAGCGTTTGTTTGCTCATATTGTTGATAAGTATTTAATAAAATGAAGTAGCATCTGGAGTGCTCCTAGATACTGTTTCTTAAAATGCAATGTATATTTTAAGACTATAGTGTTTTGTTAATCATACAGCTTTAATCATACTGTAGATCATCAAAATATACATTAAATAAAAGGAAATGTAAGCAAATAGTAAACGGATGAAATATGCTACCATACTGGTTTACTGTATATTACACTACACATTGCATAACTGTGAAATGCTTGTGAAATAAAACATTGTCACAAGAGTGCCATCATTTCACCATTCTCAAGCTTAACGGCAACAGTGGTAAATTTACAGTATATAGCATTCAAAACATGCACCAAAACACGAGGGCTCACATTTTCAATGTAAAATGGTTATTTTATGCATAACCCATTGTGCTATTTATTGGTCCCCCCAGTGGCATTCAAGTAACTGTTTTCCCTTCCATGTAGGTTAATACTGTTAAATGTTCATTTTCCTGCTGTCATCCTGCAGCTCCAATGATAGACCCCTCCCATCTGGAGAACATACTTCCTGCCTGCTTGTACTCCCCCACATACGTTGTCAAGGACTTCCCCATCGCCCGCTACCAAGGACTGCAGTTTGTGAGTACTTACCGTACACGAGAGTTCACTCCACACAGACGGCCTTCTGAGAAATAAAAATCAGGTAGCCAGCAAGGCCGAGGATATGAAAGTAATAATATCCAAGAGCTCTACAAGCTGTTGGATTTGCACCATGAACATTTTGTTGATGTTCTTAAGAAATGGAATTAGAGAACAAACAATGTTAGAGAATAGAATAGTTCACGATAAAACATATTTTAATTATTATATTCATGATTTAGGGATACCAGGGGAAATTGTTTGCCTTTAATCTTTTTTTAATTAACGCAATCCATGTTTCTAACAAAGACGAAATGTGAAGAACAGCTTAAGGTAGATGTATTTTTTTGGATTAATAGGGTTTTAAACTAATACATTAAAAAGCTATTATATTCTCAGATCTGAGAGGATAAGCAAGTTTGGGCCCTGTCAGTCATGTGATGGGAGATCTCGAAGGAAATTCAGGCTACCACTGTACACAGTGGAGCTGGACCATAGGGGTTAGGTCTTTCCACTTTGCACCAAGGATTTAGTATGGAGACAGGGGACAGGCTTGTGTAAGTGAGTTTGTCCTTCAGATGAGACATTAAACCAAGGTCTTGATTACTACGTGACCATTAGAGATTCCATAGCACTCTTTGCATCTGATCTGTTGTGTTGTGGGGATGCAAGGACTGAACTGGATGCTGCATGTCATCCAGGCAGGTGCAGAAGTGGGCCTTCTCCTATAAATAAAGCCCTTTGCAAAGTGCCATACAAATACATGGAATTATTCTAATCAAAACTGAATGTATACATCTAAAGAAAATCAGAGATCACTTAAATGCAAATTCTGGTGTATCAAACTAAAAGGGCTCGACTGACAGCATATCATAAAGAAATACTGTAAGGGATTGAGGGCTCAAACAATGTTATGTTTCAACTTTAAATGATCAAACTATTCTATTTCTAATTCTCTGCATGTTTGCATAAAGATTATACCCTGTAGACTGTTTCAAACACAATCACTGTCCTCTTCTTGATAATGAATGTAGAACATTCTTGGCTTTCTCTCTTTAAGATGAGTGATTTTGCTTTAAAGAGTGAAATCCGTTTGGCATATTGTATGTTACAGAGCATTCTTCACCAAAAACAAATTTACATGTATTATGGAAGCTAATTCCATCCGAGCCAATTAATCATAGTGCATGGAGAAATATAATTGAATACAAACAAGATGCTTGCACTAAACCACTCAGTGTTCCCTGAAGATAAGAGTGAAGCTTCCAGACACTTTAATGGTAGATCAGTTTTTCCTTCTTTATCTACAGCACTCATTCAAAAGTTGTATTTTCTGATTGGCATCCAGACCAGAATGTTGTTGCCTCCCTAGGGTTTTAAAAGTGCGTGAATTATAGTGTGGTTTGTAATTATTATTACAATAAAAAGTGCAAATGTTGTGTCTTGCATTCAGAAAACTAAGGCTAAATATTATTTTAGGTGAATTTTTAAGTTTCATAAAATTATCTTAAATTATCTTGGTGTTATATTTTATGAGACTGTTCCTTATTGAAATAGAGATAAATTGTTTCTAGCACATGAGTTAGATGCTTATTAGTTTATTAATATGTTTAATCACTGCTGTTATGAAGGAACGTCTGACACATACAGTAATGATGTTTGCACATTTCTTTTTTGTCTCCCTGTATTTTGAGCTTCCCTGTCATTATTAAATGATAAGAACAAAATTCCAAATCAGCATTGTGTTTAAGAGATAGATGAAAATATTTGACCTTGCAGCTTCTATTAAACACAGACAGTGAATATATAAATTCTGTTGCACTGATTAGATGTTTGTTGATACTGTCCTCACTAATCCAATCATATCTTTTTGCTGCTCTGTTTGCAAAAGACTCAAGCAAAATATAAACTAAGGTACTGTAGCTCTCGTCTGCCGCTGGGTCTTCTCAGGCTTCTGCTGACACTGTACCTGCTCTGTATTCTACTCTCAGGTGTACTTGTCCTTTGTGTATCCTAATGACTTTACCCGACTGACTCACATGGAGAGAGAGAACAAGTGCTTCTACAGGGAGTCACCTATTTATTTGGAGAAGTGAGTGTTCGCAATTGCTCCTTTTAGCATTTGGTGTCTAGGACGCTGGTGCCTTATTATTTCTGAATGTGAACTGCAGGTTGTGATAGAGCACTGTTAAAGCAAAATCACTGGAGAGGATCAAACCCTTGCGCAACGCAGGGATCAGCCAAGCGTTGGCTTATACTTGATGGAGAAGTAAATTGCTACTAAAACATAAAATGATCATTAAATCATTCAAATCAGGAAACAGCTTTACAGACAGATGTCAGGCTTGAGGAATTTATTCTGTGAGCTATAAAAGCTCAGGTGTATAAAGGCTGTCATAGTAATTTGGCAAACCCTTGTTGTGGAAAAGGAAATGCAATGCCCTGATGTTACCAAATAATAAATCATTTCCCTGGCAGTTCCAGAGTACTGTACAATTACTGTCCTCAAAAAAAGTGAACTGGTGCATGGGGGGAGCGCAGGCGCACCAGTCCAAAGGAAGGCCAAGGTCCAGGTGCCGGGAGATCCATCCAAGGCGAACTCGGGAACAGGGAACTAGGAACACAGATAATTAAAAGCTTGACGGGACAAGGCGCTCCGAGCCCCGGACTCAGTAGGTCAGGACGCCGTGGTGAAGCCTGTGCCCGGTGGTAGGTGGGCTTCCAGGCATCCGGGCATCCCGGCATCTGGGCATCCACTGAGTTTAGAACTACGGAGACGCCGGGCTTAAATAGGGAAACGGGGATAGGACACAGCTGGGACAAATAAAGCAGGCTGCTGAAAAATCTAATTTTTTATTTTATATCACAACCTGCCAACACGTTTTAAAAGTCATTCATGTAGTTTTCTTACCAAACAAGTAACCAATGAATTGTAGATTAAGTGGCTCATACAGAGTATTCAGCATTAACATCTATCTTCTGTACATGCCCTGATTTTTACAGATTTGGCTTCTACAAGTATATGAAGATGGATGAAGAAGAGGATGATAGACCCTTCCTCTTTCCCAATCCAGAAGGTGATTGTTCTCAGCATGGCCTTCATTTATTAAACAGCGATAACATGCAAAGCATGCACTAAGCACGATTATTACAGCTGCCCTGTTCATTAATAGCATTGTAAACAGCTACTGTATATGCAGTCAGTATTACAGTATTCAGTATGTAATCAGTATTCACCAAACATTTTTATTGCTAATTTATCTTAAGCATAAGTGCGAATACTAACAGTTACAACAACGGGCAGTGTGGCTACAGAATCAATGCTAAAAGAGAGCAGAGCACTGGATGTACTGTCTGTGAGAAACGTGTAGGCAGTGTTGGTCACGGAAAGAGCAGATGAATAGCTTAAGATGGCAAATAGAGGAATATTACGGCTTGCGGAGAGGTTTCAGATGTGTATGGTGTTTACACAGTACAGACTGGGTACTTACCGAGCTTGCATGAAGAAATCAGTCCTGATCAATGTTTGCTTCCAGGAGTCACGGATCACCCAGGCTAGTGAAATTGCTCTGCATAACAGAGACATCTACGGTACTTTGCCAACCTCGGTACTTGTCACACTCATGACAGTCTATCCTTCAGATGCAATTCCTTTTCTCCGAGGACAGGAGAAGGAGGCAACAGCCCAGACAAAGAGAGTCAGGGCACAATCATTGAACAAGGTGGAACATTTTTGAAAACACTATCAAAAAGAATAGAAATAACACTGACTATACTGAGCCTCCAAAAGCCTGTTTTGACTTGTGGTGTAGATGGTACCAGGGAGCCATCTAGTGGTGTTATGTGATTGCCATGATGTTAGTTGGTGCATAATGTATCTACCGTACTGTACATGTAGCCTGCATAACAGCTTACCTTGATCGTGTTTCTAATTATGGCTAAGCATTACATTTTCATTTAAATAAAGAATGAATGTATTGCATACAAGAATGTAAATGAGTTAACAGGAATGAAATGCTGTAAACTACAATGAAAATTACAACATAAAGATCTTCATTTTATGTGTTATGTGACCAACAATTTGCTACAATAAATGTCTTTATTTCAAAAAATAATTAATTGGCATACCTCTGTCCAGTGTTTCACAAATGTGTATTCATTATGAATTGTTATGATTCTGTTAGAAAAGAGAACTGCTTATGCTTTTTTAAATGCAATTTCCTGTTGGAATTCTTTTTTATTCCAATGATCTATGTCTAGCAGTTAGGGATGGGATAAAAGGGTGTAATTAGATGGACAGAAGAGTCAATGTCAGCAGGAACATTCAGTAAAATGCTAGAAGGAAATCTGAATGTTGAAGTTAGTCTAGCTTGTTGCATTGGTTTTCCATAATGATTCTGAATTGTTGGTTGTGTCCAGATTTCCTTGAGGAGGAGGAAGGGGTGGACCCGGAAGATGAGTCTTTACCTATTGACAACCAGCCAGTTAGGAAAAAAGTCAATGGCAGCCTCAGCAACCAGCACTTATCTGCAAAGCCCACAAGGAAGCCTGTCTCTCTTACCACAGCTGACTATGGCGATGGTGTTGATGACTATAACTTTAAACACGGAAAGAAGACCTTCCAGGGCAAGGGGGTCAATAATAGAGAAAGACAGAAAACCAGTGACAGTGCTGTGGGTGGTGTTCGTGATGACCGTGAAGTTATGGACTTTAATGAGCCCACTGTCATCCGTGGTAAATCGCTATCCTGGATCAGGACTGCTCTGGATGAGCGGAGCAAGAAGGGGGTTGAACCATTGGTGGCTGCCATTCCTAGACATGGTAAATCTGCCCTTTTTCTTCCCCAGAACTCCATTTCAGCGCTGACTAGTAGAGCCAAGCAAATCCTGAACAACTCAGCCCATGCAGGCCAAAGCCCAGTGGTCAACGATAAAAAAGACCGCCAGCGGGACCAGAACAAAATCTACGTCACCAGGCTTCGATCCAACAGAAAGACCACGGCTCCCCGGCATCCACGAGAAGTCTTCCCGGGCGTTTTCCTGTATCAGAATGGCAAAACCACGAAGCTGGTGAATCTGAACTCCAAGCTGAGAGGCAAAGGCCTGGTGAGCGCCTCCCAGCTGCGAGCCAAGTCGTTTTTCAGAGAGAGCAAGGCCTCCTGGCTGAGCAACAACTCCACCAAGCAGGCCGCTCGCAAAGTATCCAAGGCAACAGTGAGGGAGGCCCATAAAAAAGAGGAGCCCCGGGGCATAACTCCTGTATCTGCTAGAACCATGTCCGCCAGTATTAAAGAGATTTCTCAGCCCACCACAGGAAACCCAGGAGTCCAGGACTTCAATTCCTCGGAGAATACTCTTCCAACAGAAGCCCGAGTGACATCCTACATGAAGACGTCGGAGATCACAGAGTCGCAGCAGTTTGAGACGGAGCCCGAAGAAGGGGGGCTCTCAGATTATAGCTACGAGGAGCCAGATCCTCAGCTGAGCTGGGCGGAAGAGGCCATTAACTGGCAGCGCACCTTCTCCGTCAACACCATGGACTTTGAGCTGCTGCGCTCTGACTGGAACGACCTGCGCTGCAACGTCTCGGGCAACTTACAGCTCGGCGAGAGCGAGGTGGTGGATGTGCTCGCACAGTACATGGAGAAGCTGAACGAAAAGAATGGAGGGTGAGGCAGGGAGAGGTCAGGAGTGCATCCGATAACTGAGAGTGTGCACTGGGTTTGGCTTTCGCAATAACTCTGTAAACGTTGGAGTTTAGTTTGCATTGATCAGTTACCCTCTTAATGTATCCTGTTGTGCAAAAGATCTTGGACATTTTAGACATTGTAATTAATGAGATATAAACATCGACAATTTCCACATTTGGAAAATTGATGGGTTGATGGGAAGAAACACGGTGATGATCACATTGACTCGAAGAAAACTATGCATCAACCACCAATGTGAAGTGTAGTAGTAGGTAACCCATCACATTTTCTACTCATTATTGAGGTGTGCCTTGCAACTTACAGTTTCTCCTGTCTACACATCTATAAAGCTACAGTATAAGGCTGCTTTTTGATCAAGATTAACTATTAGTTTCATGGCTAAAACACAAGTCACCTAACAAAATGGCTACAATTTCAGCAGAAGGTTTCTCCATGATGAGGGAAAAGCATTGACTTGAATGTACAGAAAACTGCAAAATGCCCAAGACTTGCACAGCAGTGTATACTATATATTCTAATAAGCAGAGTAAATGCTGAAAAAAAAATGGCAAAAATTGGAATGTTGTAGAATTAGAAAGATCTGCACATTTTTCTTACTCAAAAAATTCTGAGATATGCTACTGGATTTCACAGTGCAGTTGTGAACATGAGAGATAATGGGTCTTAATTTGTATTTTGCTAATTTTGCTAAGAACCATCCCCCAATTTAAATGTTTACACTGAAGCTTGCACTCAAACCCCCTGTTCAACCCGACTTTTAGACACACGCTGCTAGGTTCCAGCGCGGCGGCTCCCAGGCTCCCTGCCTGAGTCTCTCCTCTCCCAGCAGGATCTACACCCTCCTGCGCATCATCAACGTCGAGAAGCGGCGGGACTCGGCTCGGGGGAACCGCTACCTCGTCGAGCTGGAGCTGATGGAGCGCGGGAAGAGGGTGGTCCGGCTGTCGGAGTACGTGTACCTGCTGCTGCACCGCCGGCGGCAGGAGGACAGTCTGGAGAGGGAAGAGGGGGCCGCCACCGCCTCACCTTCTACCACCACCACCACCACCACCACCACCACGGCTTCCGCCCCTGCCGGCCACGGCCCTCCTCGGACCACCACCCAGTGGAACACAGCCTACACCAAACCCCTGCTGTGCCAGCCGGTCATGCTGCAGTGGAGGCACGACGTTATGGTGCACTTTGTCGTGCCAGGTACTGACTCCTGGGTGATGTGTGGCAAGCAGCAATAGCAGAAAAGCACAGGGTGGATTTTTTTTAGCCTGGCTGCTTGACATCTTGCTTGGTTTCTTTGTGCTTGCTTCCTTCGATACAGTATGGCTGAAAGCCCTCTAGCATGGGCCTTGTGGGGTATCAGAATATGCCAGACTGGGATTTGTGGTGATTAAGGAGGGTTTCACTATATAAAAGACTAGGCCGACATCATTACACAGCTTCCATGTCTTAGTAATGAAAAATTTTCTTTCAGCAGAATATGATTCCACCATATAAATTCAAATTCCAGACCTGGAGGGCTTCTGACATCTGGTTTCCTTCCAGTTTCAGCCAGTCTGTTTCACTGTTATATTTTTCATGCTTAAAACATCAGGAACTGGGAAACATTCCCAAGTCTTCAACGACTGATGACTTGAACAGACTTCATGAAGTCCTGCAGGACTGAATCTGCTCTCTGTGATCTAGGCAGTGTGAGGCACCTGTCTGTTGTAAGATTGCTCTGCTGCCTTTTCTCCATTAGTGAAGAACCAGGCCCGCTGGGTGCAGCAGTTCATCAATGACATGGAGTACCTGCACAGCGAGACCAAGGATGACAACTTCAACATCATCATTGTGGACTTCCAGAGTGAAGACATGGATGTAGAACAGGCTCTGAAGGACAGCAAAGTGCCAAGGTGCTGTAGCATGACTCAGGCCTCCTATGGGAAATAACTCCAAAAGTAGTGGACTCTCAGGACTGCTCAGAATCAAGATTAAAAATCCAATATTTAACATTTAATAATTAGTATACAGTGCACCTTGTAAATGCTTCAGAAAAGTTTCTTTCCTGCAGTATTAAGCAACTATCCCTAGTTTATGTCTTGGACAAATTTAACAGGTTTCCTAAATATATAAGAATATTAAAATTAATCGATTCTGTGACATAATTATCTCGATCCAGTTAGAGATTTCTCTCCATTATATTATTTAATGTTCATTGACCAATTCTCAGACCATGTTTTTAGACCATTATTTTAGATTCCCCAGTCTTCACTTTAACTATTATCTCTGCATGTGGAATCCTCTGTGTTTCTTGTGCTATGAAACCTGTCTTTTTTTAAAGCAGTTCTGATTTTCCTCGATAATATATGCCCTACAGTAACAGCTCTTCAGTGGGTTTGGCTGTAATTATAGTTTATAGTCCAGAGTTATTTTAATTTTATCTGTAGTGTCATGATTCAGTTTTTGTTTTCCCTTTTCTTGGATGGGTTTGTGATTTTCATTTTGCCAGATATTGGAAACAGCCCTGGTACAACGGTCTGCTGAAAGATCCTTGTTACTGGCATATTTGTAATACCCAAACCTGCTGATTTGTAACACAAAAAAGAAAGAAGAAAGAAAACACAACATGTTGGCCGTGGAGCCAAAACGTTGTGTTTTCTTTCTTCTCTTTTCAGCATGGAATAAATCTATTACTTGTTCCATTATAGTAATTATTTTCCTCTGTTGATAATATGAAGATTATTAAAAACTGGGCATTTTTTCATATAGTGAATGACTGTGTAAAATATAAATTATTAATTATATTACCTTTCCAACAAAAACATTTAATCTATTGTTTTCTGTGATATTTTTATTTGGTGTTCCTGTGCTATTATCATATTACATGAAGCAAGCACAAAACGGAGCTACCTTTGCACTGTGTTTTATGAGTGTATTTAGATTCTACTCAGTGCTGTGTATTTTAAATGTTGTCAAAAGCAGATATGTTACATGCACTGTATTTTGTTCCAATCAATCTTTTGTTCTTGCTTTTGTACTAGATATGAGTACTTGAGGCGGGAGGGAAATTTTGAACGTTCAGCAGGCTTGCAAATTGGAGTAGACACCATTGAGGTGAGCCAGTGACAAATGTAAGGCTGCTTTGATATGTGCAGTAATCATGTCTTCTAGTTCTATCACAGTCTTCTTTAGGAATGCATGGACCTGTATCACACAGATTAGCTGTTCTTTTTATTTAATTTTCCTGCTGTAGCTTTCTAAATTTTTCATCAATTTAATTTTAAAATGTTATGTGACAAATGATAATGCTTAGAGCATGTACTGTACAGTACAAGTATTAAATGTTATTCCTTAGAATTCTCAGCAGTTTCAGTTTTAGCAGTTTATGTTCTGTCATAATTATGATCCAGACAGCTTTCAGTTTGGTTTGGAATTGACAGGTATAAGAATTTCTCTATGTTTTTCCAGATAGTTTTATACCATAAGTTATTCTATTACTTAAAGGTCAAAACTGTTATTGTAAAGCAGAATTTCTCACCTAGACATAGACTGTTAGAATACCTCATAATTACAGTACTATTATAACTAGTCTTTCAGTCATTGACTGATTTAAACATTGACTGATTAAGACAGGACAACAAGCAGAATGCAAGGTGGGATCTGTTTTCAAGAGCTGTGTCATTGGCCTTTACCAATACAAAATCAACTCAAGGCTGTGTTTCCATGGGTGGACACTATTCCAGCTCTCTCGGGTTGTGCTTGATTTTGATGCCATATCTTGTCACACTGTGTCAGGGCGCCACAATTCAGTCCTTTTCATCCGGGGTTCCATCAGCTGTACTTCAGACTTTAGAAAGGAGTGCACTGTGAGCAGAATAATGATGTTGTCCGACCTCTGATTTTCCAGGACAGTCACAGCATTGTGTTCCTGTGCGACCTCCACATCCATTTCCCCCTCAACATCCTGGAGAGCATCAGGAAGCACTGTGTGGAGGGGCGGCTGGCTTTTGCTCCTATAGTCATGAGGCTGGGCTGTGGGAGTTCCCCCAGAGAGCCTGACGGTAACACTTGGCCTGGGGTCACTGTCTTACTGTCTGTCTGTCTATTTCACCCCAATCTAGAGTTTAAATTCACAAGGCTGTTAGTTGTAACTTCAAATTCTCACTCAAAAACTGAATAGCATCATGTAACCATCTACCAGATGAATTGGATGGGCTGAATGGCCTCCTCAAATTTGCACATTTTACACTAGGAAAGATTGCCATATGTGGATTCGAAGATGACTCAATAGTTGCTTGTTTGACAGGACCTTACACTAACGCACTAACAAGAAGCGAGCAGCGAGCAGCGAGCCCAAGAACCCGAATCCGTTACAATGCTCTTTATCTGAGCCCTGATTTGGAAAACTCATTCGGTCACTACCATGCCTAGACTTTTTTATGGCCTTACATTATTGCATTTGGTTTTGAAAGAAAACTTTTTAAAATAATGACCCTGCCAGAACAAGGAGCACACATTGCACATTTACTTTGTGACATGCAAACACCAAACTCAGTTTTTCTTTCAAGCAGAGCCTCTCTGTTGTCTTGCAAAGCTTTGAAGTCTGCATTTCTTAAATTAATTGGAAGCTTAGTGTCTGTGTTTGACAGCTATGACAGGGTAATCCAAGCAGGCAGCACAAGATCAAAAGATTCAAAAGAAGAAATAATTGACCCTGGTTTTCTTCTCTTCTCCCTAAGGATACTGGGAAGTTAATGGCTTTGGCTTGTTTGGCATTTACAAGTCGGACTTTGACAAGATAGGAGGAATGAACACAGAGGAGTTCAAAGATCGGTGGGGAGGCGAGGACTGGGAGCTCCTCGACAGGTATTTTGAATAAGAAATGGGATAGTTTTGAGAACAGTGCCACTAATCGAGGTTATGCCACAAATCAGGCCAGTGTCCCAAAATGTCAAAGTCTCCTTTTATTTTACCTGACATTTGACTCTCTCTTAACTCTGTATTAAACCCTGTACTTCATCAGCTTTCATGTTTTCACCTTTATGGCTGCTTACAGATGTGTGAAAAATCCTCATGATCTCATTTTGCTTTCACACAGAGTTCTTCAGAACGGGCTGGAAGTGGAGAGGCTGAGACTGCGCAGTTTCTTTCACTATTACCACTCCAAACGGGGCATGTGGAACGCTCAGATGAAGAAGAGCCCCAAAGCATAGCGTATGGAGGTGCTTCAGCTCTGCCGTGGAAGAAGCTTGGGTGCCTATTTCAGTGCCATGTGGGCATTTTTCAGAGACTACCAAGTTCCTTTAAGGACCCCTTTCCCAGACTCGAAGACAAGGAGAGAGTGGCCGTTCTGTTTGCCACCCTGAGTCAGATGACTTACTCTCTCTTGGCTGCTTTCAGTTATTTAACAAGTACTCAACAGAAGTACGTCTAATTCTTAAAGGATTTTAAAAGTGGACGATTCTGAATTTTTTTGTATTTGTTGAGAAGAATGGTAGCACTGCTAAGAGGAAATTGGGGCCTTTAAAACTGTTTCTTATATAGATCCCAGTTTTAGGCAGCACCAGGAGGGAATCATTAAAGAAAGGTTTAGTTGTGATTTTATGACTGGGAAATGAACGAACAATAAAGGGATTTTACCGAATCCCTTTCTGACAAGAAGAGGTCAGGCTTTAAAAAAGCACTAGTACAGGAAGACCCTTTTGGATCTGCCCTATGCACTTCATATATGCCTCCCATTACAGACCTGCTCTGGTGATGATATATTTGTTGTAGGGATGTGTGTATCAAGGCCCTTATCTGTGAATACAGGGATCTGTTTTGCGCTGTTTTGGTGTCCATGACTGTATTTGATTTTGGGTTTTGTGGACTTACCTTGACATAATTTTATCACTTTTTTCCAGTCAATAGCTGAAAGATATGCTAAACAATGTGTTGTAGGTTGTTCCCATATGATTACCATGTTGGTCATCATTTTGTTGATACATTGTACAAAATCCAATGGATAAAAGAACACTACAGCTCCTGCCAAGGAAACTTATTGAAGGCCATTTGATTACTGTATTTTTCTCTTGGACTTCTCTGAAATGCAGATGCAGAGTATGTGAGGCAAGCTTGAGATGTTTTTTATGTATTAATGGTAGTGATGTTGAAGCAGTAGGGACAAAGATGCATTAGGTTATGGATGAGGAACACTGCCCTTGAAAACCAAATATATCTACTTTAGATATTAATCCTGCTGATTCTGGGGTTGGACTGGCACACTAAACTAAACAACACTGCACTAAGTAGGTGTGAATGGGTCAGGCTTGGATAACAGCTTGAACTTATTTGGTCATTGGAGAGGGCAGTAAAAATGAATATTTAAATAGATTGCTAGCTAGACTGGGACTAGTTCCTAGAATATTTATTTTAAAACTGCACAAACTTGAATTGTTCTCACCAAGTGATTATTTAGATTGCAAGATATTATTTTAATGTATTTTCTTTTATAGTAATTCAAATTGGAACTGAAGATGAACTAAATTTTGTTTCTTTACTACTGTACACCACCTCACAACACCATGGGGAGGTGAAGACAGTGCACACTTTCTCCAGGAACTAGCATGTATTAGAGCCATGTGCAGTCTTTCATTTGCAGGTCCCACATATTTTCATATTGTAGTTTTTCATGTTGTAGGATTCTTGATCAAGAGAATCCATCAATTAGCAAAATTCCACTGAAAACTTCACAGGTACCCAGTAAGTCCTTGGGGCCATCGGTGTTCAGCAAGCCAAGATTATCTTGATTGGCTCAAGTCCACCTGGCCTTGTGGCACTTGGCCAATTGTCCTAGTCAGTCAGCCAATGACAGAGCTCATACATGAGCCAGCACCGACTGCATACAGTAGGATAATTTCTACAGCAACTACAGCTGTTCAACTACAGCAAGTAGTTGAACAAGTCTAAGGCAAAAATCTGATTTCTGGTTTCCTAGTACAGTATGCCATACAGTATGTACAGTAGTTATGTCCCAAAATAGATGGAGCAAGCCCTTTGCTTCACAAAAGGGAGAACTCATTTCATTGACAAGTTTTGATTTCAGTGAGCTTTCCTTGAGCAGATCTTAACACAAAAAAATATGATTCCAACTCTGAGAACAGAGATATATGAATAAACAGTTTTACATTTTAAAAATATCTTTAAAGCCTAAAAACTCAATATTTTAAATACATTTTAGATTTTGAGTCTGTAACTAACACTAGTACATTTATGAAAAGAATAGCTTTAAGAGTCTTTAGTTATACTGAAATCCAGGCTAGGTGTTAATGCTTTCATCTGTAAAAAGCTGTTCTGAAAGCCAGCCATCTGGGAGGAAGATTGTACAGGGACTGTAAGGTTTTTTTTTTTTTGTATAGAATGAGACACAAACATTGTAATGTTTACAAGAAAAGGAACTACTTGATATCTGGGAAACTCTCATTATTTTATGTTGCAGGGCTGGGACAAAGAGTGACAGCAGAGGAGTGTTTCTTGTCTGTGTCAGGGGCCAAGCAGATATCTTCTTTATGGTGACCCCCACCTCATGCAGTACATGGATCAGCTCTTTCTTATGAATAACTGTTTTTCTCCTATAAACACATTTACTACCATTATCCAGCCATAACCTTGCTACACTGCAGTTTCACACTGCGCACCTAATTCATAATGACATTCTCTTTTAAGAATTTAATATTGACTTTGTATCTACATCAGTAATACCCAGGATTCAGGAGAACTTCTCAAGGAAATTCTACTAAGATTCTCATAAAACTACTATACTACTGATCTGGTTTTAAATTTTTCAGTTTTAATGGTTTCTTTTTTATTTTCTTTTTTGTGTCAGTTGACATAGTCTGGAGGGCAAGACAGTGGCATTGAGATAAGTGCTGCTGCCTAAAATGTCTGCCTTTAGCACCTGTCAATGTAGAGTTTACATGTTTCCCCCGTGTTTACAAGGGGTTTTCGCCAGGTGCTACAGTTTCTTCCTAGCTCCCAAAGACATACTGTACACGTTAGGTTCGATGGGCTTTCTGTGGTTAATTCTTACGTGCATGGTCGTTGGGCTCCTTACCCAACCACACATATAGGGAGGCTTTGATACTTTACCCCTTTCACAGGGCATGGAACTACACAAACACAGACAGTGTAGTCTGGCTAATCTCAACATTGTGGAACACAGAGTGCTCTCCCATGCTAGATAGATGTATTCATGGATTCTAAGATGTGCCTTTGATTGTCACTTTAAGTAAAAAGTAGTATTAAATAAATGTGTTGGTGTAAACAGGAAGCATGTACGTTCAATTAATTTTTGAGGTAAAACTCAGAAATAAGGCCTCTTACAGTATCTGAACTTTGAGTGTCTTGCTGATTATACAGCAAATGTATAATCATGAAACTAAAGGAACAGATCAGTCAATGAGCTGAATGGCAGAGATGCCTGATTGCCTCAGGGCCTAAAGGATTATGGATGTTCTTTACATTAAAAAAATAAACATCTTACAGTTGTCATTGGTTTTATCAGGGAGAGTTTCTTCTTCAATTAAGGAGAATGAGGATTTTCATATCTGTGACAAACAAATCCTACTGAATCTGAAAAAGGCTCCATTTAAGCCTGTTCCTGTAAATTGGTGGTGGTGGGGTAAATCCAGTTCAGCTTGTCTCCCTCCTCTAAAGTCACTATAGCAGGGCTTTGTCCCAGTCAAACCTCTGCAGCTCAGACCTTGCCTATTTTTTAAAAAGACAGGGATATACATTCCAAGGGTAATTTCTGTGAAATTATTTTGTAGCAGGAGTTTTCAGAATGTACTGTATTGTCTTTTTTTTAAATAAAATTTTAAGATAAAGCTTCACCTTGGTGTAGATGTCGATCCCCTTCACTACACTATCAGAAAAAAAAATGTGTGTACAGGTATTGCTACATTTGTGAAGACCAAAGCAGAGGTAATGAATCAGGTAGGTGATCCACACATAGCAAATCACTATTATTATTGTTTTGGGCTTATTTTCATCCAGAATAACTTTAAATGTATTTTTTGCAGTGTATAGTATGGTAAATAATACTAGAACAAGAATCAATGGAAGGTCCTAACAAGTACAGAAGTACAGATGTGCATCTGTGGTTGTAAGGAATAGCAGCTTTTCACAATTCTTCATTGGAATATTAGTAACCTGAAGAGTTTCCTTAAAAAAAATATTTGCCATTGCACATAGTAGTACATCAGTTCTTGTGGCTGTGTGCTCTTGCTCTGTTATGTACTCTTGGCTGCTAAATTGAAATGTTTGCTTACGGAAGTTGGACGTAATTACAGTACTTATCACTTCAAGGTCTAATTTATTGAAACTTTAGATGATACACATGATTCAAAATAATGTAACAGTAGGACACTGTGAAACTCAGGAATCAGCACTAAATTCAGTACGTACTAATTATGCAAAGTAAGCAAATGATTCCTCTTACTGAACCAAAGTCAGAAAGCTATTCAATTTTGAGGCACTGAGAATGTACCTATCTCATGTTCAAAAGGGAAATAATTGATTAGCTCTCCCTGATCTGAAGTAACCTCTGAGTGCACAGGCAGTGTGTTGTCAGTCTCTGGTGAAACAAGTCACTTTAAAACAACAAAGTGGTAGAATATGGACATGGTAGATCATGCAATAGCAGACTATCTCAGACAGAATATGACGGGCACAGCTAATAGTGTCATGGATGTCGGAGGGGCATGCCATGGAATGGCCAGGAGAGCAGTAAAGACCCAATGTGTAGCGGCAATAAGGGCAACACGGAGGTTAGCCCGGGCTCAGGGGGTCAGACGAGGTCGGGGAGAAACCTATGCCCTCAGGCCATGGAAGAGGTGACCTGGTCTCAAGACATCCGAACCCTCAATCCTGAGCGAGACGCAAACAGAGGCCTGGAAATATATACAGTAGCCCCACACAAGGACACACCGGAAGGACAAGAAAAGCACAGGGAAACTAGGAACAGGACAGAGAAGGAGCGCCCTCTAGATGGAGAGGGCGTGAAAGTAACAAAAAACCCGAGAACAAGAAATGGCAAAAAATAAGTTCAACATTCTGACACGGATGCAGGGAGTGACAACCCGAGGAAAGCCAGGTGTTCGCACGCGGATGCCAGGAACGACCCGCTCACAGGCACGGATGTCAGGAGTGGCATCACGCGACTAGAATAGGAGAACTGAAGAAATAAGGCCCAAAGCGATGCGGGAAACAGAAATAGAACAAGCGCCGCTCGCGGGGTCAAGGTATGGCTCAGCATTCGGTCACGGATGTCGCAGGGGCAAGCCGTGGAAGGGCCAGGAGAGCAATACAGCAGGTAGGCAGTTTGTGAGGCCCGGATTTAGTTAAACTGCTGATGTTCTACTGATAATAATAATAATAATAAACTTTATTTTATATAGCGCCTTTAAAGGTGGCTTCTCAAAGCGCTTGAGAAGATATGATGTGATCCTGCTGTCATATCTAACAGTTCCAACAGAGGGCACATTACTGGGCAAGCGGCACTTGTAAAAAGTCCATCTTTTCTACATCTAAACTATGTATAAGAATAACCCAGATGGCCAGTACAAGAGAAATAGCATGTAGAGTTTACAGATTATGAGATGTAAAAACACTTTGCTATTATAGAGTCTTTATTCTTGCAATATAGAGGGCAATATCTTAATAAAGCCTTCAATGTAGAAAACATTTCCAGTATAATTTTCTCCAGTATACCACATGGGGGACCCCTTCTCCAATATATTTCATAGTTTGTTCATTTTTCAGCATGGATGGTTGACAAGACATTTATTCTGCCAGAAAGCATAAATATTTCACAGGGACTTTGAAAAAGAAGAGAAAAATCATCACATAACAATTCCTACTTAAGTTGGTACATTCATCTAATTCTACTTTGAAAATTAAGTTGTTTTAAGTTATACCATTTGTGATTTATTTGCTATTTGCCACTTTTAGATCTCCAAATACTCTGTATTCAGACAAGTTTATTCAGCCTTCGTAATACTAACTTTTCAGTGTTGTTTGAAGTGGTTTATCATGACACCTCATCTCTGTTAGCTGTAACAGCATTATAGCATTCTATTGTACTCAAATTTTACAAATAAAAAATACAAAAATACTGAAAAAATATTGTAAAATACAAACTTTTACAAATAATATGAACTGGTAATCATGACTCATGGAATACCCAAAATACTTATTTGTAAAGATCTCCTCAACAACATCATGTCGATATTTTAAGTCGTGTTATGTTCAATTAATCCTCTATTGTTACACAAAAATGTTTCCTAAAAAAAAGTAGTTGCTTTAAAATAATCTAAAGCTAAAAATGATCTGAGAGTCCATGTCGCTAAAAAATACATATTTTTTAAGTTTGCATAGTAAGGTAAAAAAAAACAATTTAATGTACTCGACAAAACATATTATTTCCTCACTACTTCCTCATGATGTCCTATGTCCTGTTTTAATCGTACAAACTGTTATTTTTCGTTATCTCCCCTTTTATTTTTGCTCTTTTAACTACATTTCTCGGAGTCCTGAGCTCATTGGACAGCCGTTCCACTTTTGTTAGACTTCCTGCTCTTGCAAGAAAGTGATTTGGCCAGCTTATTTCATACTCAAGGTTTACACTCTTTATGTTTGCGCCCATTCCTTTTTACATTGATTTCAGTAGGTGCCTACAATGGTGTTGTTATTAAAAATGAATGTTTTGAAGCTACTGAAACACGAGAAGCTCTTGGTTTAAGGAGCAGATCCAGAAAAGAAGTTTTTCCTATTGTGGCTGCTGGGGTGATTGGTTGATATAGCGGGGTGAGCTGCTGATTGGTCCGTGTGCAGCTACAGATCACGGTGCAGTTAAAGGTCCCTTCAGTCCGTGCGTACGCTGATCTTCCTGCTAAAAAATAGCCATCGGGCAAATGGAAAAATTCGCTTATCGTACGGACGAGTGTGTAGATTTGATGAATTCCCGCACATGGATCAAAACACACTTCCCTGGAAGAAGTAACCGCCTGTCTTTCTTTGGATTTATAAACCTGTGAGTTCCAGTACATGCAGGGAAAGTTGGAAAACGGAGAGGACTGAAGCGCAATCAGTGAAGGTACTAAGTTGAGGAGCGGCGCATTAGCCTAGTGAATTCATAAAACATCCGAAACTGAAATATTAATGTAGCAGTGCACATACAAAACGTAAGTGAACGATATTTGTTTGGAAAACGTATACCAGGATAATTTTGCGCATTTTTCGATTTACAGACTCCTCTGAACACTTCTTTGGAAGTGTCATTAGCTGCAGCAGCCGGGACACTTAATTCAGTCTAGCCAGAGTCATGGCAGGGATGTGCAGCTCCACCGTAAAGACCCTGGAGGACTTGACTCTCGATTCGGGCTATGGAGCAGGGGACTCTTGTAAGTCTCTTAGCCTCTCGTCTTCAAAATCCAATTCGCAGGCGTTCATGAGCGCTCCGCACCGGGGCAACTGGTGGTACTATTCAGGGTCTATGAACAGCCGAAATAACAGCTGGGACACAGTCAATACTGTACTGCCGGAAGACCCCGAGGACATGTTCTCCAAATGTCCCCGGCTCCCGGAGTTGGAGGAATTCCCCTGGACCGACGACGAAGTGGGCAAGATCTTGCGCAAAACACCTGGCAAGGGGGCAGCGTTTTCCCAGGAGGCTGTCCGGAGGCTCTCTACTCTCCTACGAAGGGCTTTGATTCGGATTTCCAGAGAAGCCCAGCGGCTCAGTGTCATGCATTGCCGCTGCACCCGCTTTGAGGTGCAGAGCGCCATACGCCTGGTGCTGAGCTGGGCGCTGGCGGAGAGCTGCGTCTCGGCTACAGTCAAGGCGATCTCGCTGTACAGCATGAGCGCAGGCGAGTGGCTGCGGAAAGGCAAGTCCTCCCGATGCGGTCTGACCTTCTCGGTTGGCCGCTTCTTCCGCTGGATGGTGGACACCCGCATCTCCGTGCGCATCCACGAGTACGCGGCGATCTGCCTGGCCGCTTGCATGGAGGGACTGGTGGAGGAGGTGGGGACGCGTGTGCTGATGGGGGAGAGGCAGCCGAGTCCAGATGGAGTTTCACTTGGAACAGGAGTCACGGCCGAAGCTTTGGAGGCGGTTGTCAACAATGATGCCGAGCTCTGGGGACTCCTGCAGCCCTACGAGCATCTCATCTGTGGGAAGAACGCAAACGGTAGGATCAGTCTTTTTTGTATTCACAAACATAGGTTTGGAAGTTTTGTTTTGTGTGAAAAGGTGACAGAAAAATGAATATAGTAATACATTGAACAAAAATAGTTTTCAAAATAAGCTAATAAGTTGTTTTCATTAGTTTGATTCACAGACGTGTAGGACGAATATCAGAAAATATAATTATTTATTCAACTATTCATATTTACAGACATAAAATAACTATAATAATAACTTAGTTCTTTTGATTTCATTCTTTTTTTCATGTGTTTACTCGCTATCAGATTACGGGGTCTTGATCAACGAAAGATTCAATTGAAATTAGTGAAATATATTCCATACAGTACGTCTACTTTTGCCCGGCGTTGTACTGATTTACAGTACGTCTTAATGCGTGCACCCATATGTAAACCTGGAAATGTTAATTTAATAGCGTTTAGAGCTTTGTACTTATCCCAAAACAGTAGGCAAAAGTAGCAAACTGTCCTGAAACCCTTTAAATAGCTTATTTAATGTTTTTTTCTTCCCTGGTTATGATGCAAGACTCACCAAATAATCTGTTTTACTCTAATAGTAATATTCATCCTGTGCCAGTAGAAAATATATATCTGAGATCTCAGTTCACACTCCTCAATACCCCCATAAGTATGAAATAATAAAGAATTGTGACAGTGTTAAGAAATGTGTGCTTGTGAATCTGCACATGCAGACGTGACATTTGCATGGCTGAAAGTTATGGAGGATTACCAGTTTCAGTCCCACTTCAAGGGGAATGCACACTGGGAATGTTGTTGTCGGGACTGTGATGATGTGATGCTGACAGGGCATTCAGAGCCCTTTTGTTCACCATCACCACAGTTCATCCTTTCTACCAATTGACGGGAAGAGCCCTTGATCAAGTCAGGTGTGGTCATCCATCCGTGCAAACCCAGAGGCACTGCTTCTGCAAAGTCACAACTTGACCATCTAACCAAATGGAATTTATAACAAAAGCTCGGGAGGGATGACACCAACCAAGCTCAATCAGACTCAGCTGTCAGTAATTAGCAATCGCTCCTGACAATCCATTCATCTCCCAAACCCTAGAAATACCTACGAGATCCCCATCTCTCTCTCTTGCACGTCTTTAGCATCCCATCTCCACCCCATCTCCACCTCTGCAGCTGCCCCTTGGTCACCCCACATGGGGGTCCTGGTCTCCTATTTCACTCCATGACGCTTTCATCTTGGGTGTTTGTCATTCCTCGTGAACAGAGCATTGTGGAAGAAATGGGAACATCATGGTTTTATGTCACATACTGTATCTAATTGGTGGCTCAATGTGGATTACGGGCACATATTGGTAAATGGTGCTATTTTCTGCAATTGCAGTACTAGATCTCATTTGGTTATTTTGTACTTGCATACAGAAGGAACCACAAAGTAGTTACTGAGATATGTGTAAGACATCAATATACAGTATATCTTCTAGTGGAGATATGTTGTGGGGGCTAAAATTGCTAATTTTATGAGTTTGCATGTTCTTGATGGTAATCGACTGCATACCAGTTTTTCTTTACTTGGTTATTGACAATCATTATCTGTCTGCTATCCACCGTATTTCAATTTATCAATTGTTTCTCAAGTTATTTTACTGCTATTGCTTCTGCATAACCTGGGTAGAATGAACTCCCGTGTACACAATCTTTCAACATGCCCAACTGTCGGAGTCGTTTATCATGTGACACGGCCCCCTACAGGGTAGTTGGTAATGATTGAAGGAGCATTGCATTCTCATTGATCTCATTGATAATGGGTACCTAGCTGAACCCTGCGTTCAGTGCTACATGGCAAGTTGAGGAACCCAAAAAAATAGCAAGCTGGACAGGGATATATGACAGCATCAACTGCTACCAAGCTGCATTGTCTTACTGCACAGGTAGAAGCATCCCCATGGTCTGTGTGCAACATCCATGTCTCAGAGTTCATTGTCATACACTGGCCAACAGCGGCACTGAATCTGAACCCAGCTGAGCACATGGGATAAGGAGCATACACACACGTCAGAACCGAGTTACAGTATCTTATAGATTAAATGGCACAACACCCTTGTCAAGGTGCCCACAGTTATTAGCAGATGTCTAAAATGTATAGCTGGGTTTTACAGTAACTGTTGATATATCTTTAGGTCCCAAGCTTTAAAAATCACTTTTATCTGATGTAAAAGCACTGCGCACAAAATGCAAGTGGATTCATGTAAACAAAGAAAGAACTGCTTGAATTATGTTCCCCAATGTTGCACCTAACTGTAACTACATAGCAAATAAGTATTCTCAGCAGAACAAGACAAATACCGGTAGATAAACCTGAATATTGGTAATGTTATTTGAAAAAAACAATAGGAGGGGATCATTAAAAAAACAGATAGCATATTGTTTTAAACACACCGTGGCTTCTTCTGATATAGAGTACTTTCTTAAATCATCATAAAATATTATTTTTCGCATAGCATTTTGACTTTAAACAAAAGTCACACTTGAATAGTTTCTTTTTTGGCTCTTCACAGCAGGCAGAGCAGTTAAGCAAAGAATCCAGGACTACAGTGGTTAGCAGGCATTATGCACTTTTTAATTCATTACTCATCAGCTGCAGTGTGTGAACTGCTGCAATATTAATTAATACTCAATGTAAGAATTAATTTACATTATGCAAAGGGAACTCTGATTAAAACTGTTAGCACAGCAAACAGCCCTCCTCCTTAAAAAATCTACACTAGCTTAGGAGGATATTAACCTAAATGTATTTTTCCTCTTTTCTCTTGGCTTTATTCTATCATGTTTCACAGATCTCGAGTTTAATTCACACAGATCATCCAAATCCAAAATGATTGTTTCTTCTGTGTATCAGTATTGTTAAATTACGATAAAGGACAAATGCATATAAACAAAAAACTTTATCTAACTTTGTCATCCAAATTATTGCTAAGAATGCAAATTTTTCATTGAATGTAAATGATAATTGATAAAAATGATTGGTGTGTGTATTCCTGTGTAGTGACTTCCTTCAGGTCCAGAGGTGTGCAGTGCTATGGATATGTTATTCCTAGCGACGAGCTTGATTTGTAGCACAGTTTATTGATTGAATGCCACTACTTGTACAGCATGACTAGAGTTTGTTGTCGGTGATCGACAATCATAGGAACTTAATGCATTTGAAGAAGCTTTTACAGACATACAAATTTAAAACATGTTTAGATGTCCTTAGGTTCATGAACTTATACTACACCCTGAAAGAAACTGTATTGAAGGACAAAATGGTTTATTGTGCAGGTGCAAAAATGTACCACACAATAATTTAAGGAACAGTAGGTGAAGTACTGTACAGTATGTCTAAAACAGTCTCTCTATCCCCTGATCCGCAGTAAGTGAAGCAGTCTCTTCGTCTACGTTTTAAGTTGTCTTGGTGTACATAACATCACACAGGGAGAGATAATGCAAGTCATAAAGTCGGTATCTTGTATTGAAAACATTAGCATTGATGACTGCAAGATGTGCACTCCACAACAGAGACTATCATATCACCACAGATGCTCCAGTGAATAAACTGGGTCAACACTTCGCCTTTGAAATGAGCATTTCACGGATTTCACGATGCAGTATGTCATATAAGGCATGAGCCTTTTCCTAAGCATCCGTTTTTCATGTGAAAAATATGTTTGCACTACATCAAATGTGCGAATCCCAAAAATATCTGTGTACAAATTCACAACACCTGACAGGCAGAGTTGCATTTTGGGATAAAATCTTTCCACCTCTGACTTCAAACACTTTCTGATATTTCCCTAATGTTTAGCCATAATGATATAGTTCTTGGATTTTAAAAGCAAGCCTGAAGTTTGTGGAACAAAAATCATTGATTCATTTTGGTTTCAGTTACTTTTAATTTTTGTATATTCTGGACTATTTCTCTTGTCTTTTTCTCTGGAAAGTCTGAAGCTCTTGTCTGCATGTATTTGAAAATAAGGCAGGGTTTTATTCTCAGCATTGGAAGCATTTCTGTGCTGCACAAAAGCTCCACTCTCATGTGCGGAACAGCCTAACATCTGGAAATCTTTAAGGCAAAAATTACATCTATGGCTCCAATAACAAGTTTTTTTTTCTTTCTTTCTTTTTTTTTGCTCTCCTTCATTTTTTGATGGCCGTCTTTACAAATATTTTAAATTTGGAAAGAAAAATCTCAATCATAATTGTCACTCTTTGGAAGAACACTCTTACATGCTGTTAAGGCCTTGAAAACAAACATGTACACCTGCAAAATCTTCATCTTTTAACAAAAAGATTTTTAAATTTGAATGCAAAGTACTGAGAACAGTAATCTCTGTGAGAACAAAGACTTGCGGTTGTGGGTTTAGGAAGCCAAGATACAGAACTAGACTGTACAGTTATTTAGCCCATTGTGCAGGTTTGGTTGTTGATCACTCCTTGGGATTATGCTAATTTGTATGAAAAACACAGATACAAGGCTCCCATCGCATAACAGATTGTGCCTTTTCAGGCTTTACAAGTGAATAACTCTTGTTAAAGATAATTCATTTAAAGTAGCACTGGACCTTTACTGTAGTGAGCAAATTCCCATGTTTTGCGTGTTGGTGTGAACCCCTTTATACCAACAGCAGTGCAGAACAGAAAGTGTTTGCTTGGGATACTCTGTACTTAAATAGCTGTGTTGCTAAAGAGCTCACCTGCAGTGTGGGAGAAGATAGGACTTTGTAGTTCAGTTAGTAAGAGAAACTTGCGACGAAAACTGTGTATTTGAGGAGCCTGGTGTTAAAATTGACAAGTATTGTATTGTGAAGAGATCTGAGTGGGGAGATGTGTCAGTATGGATTGGCCACCCAGGAACAAGATGTTAAATCCACTCTGAAAAGTAGATTGAAAGAACAAACACAATCTTTTTAGCTGTGACTCTGAAGTACTGTAGTGTACAGTGTGGCAGTTCTTTGATTATACTATGTTAATACTGGTT